TAGCAGGATTTTCTGCTATTTATACTACTTATTGCAAATAGTGGCAATTATCTGCACCTCAGTATTGTAGTACATTATAAAACAGTATGCATTAATAGCATATTGAGTGTAAATTATTTTAATTCAAATTATTAAATGGATGTCACCTTATGGGGCACTAAATCCCTCCCTACACTTACTAACCCTACCTGATACAATTAGACAATAGTCTTTTGTAATGCTTTGTAATCACACGTTGATGGGCGGAGTTAGTGTAAATAACCTCTGCCAACAAGGCGGCCTATTTGCACTTGTAAATAGACACTCCGTTTTTTTATTTTGAACTGATGTTCAGCTGTTCTTTTTAATAGTCAGATATCTAAGCAGGAGAGTTGTTTACTTACTTTATAATTAGTCAATAACGCCATCATTTTCTTTCTTCATTCAGGCTGAGAGCTCGCACGAAAACAAGAGGCGGGATTTATCACACGAACCAATCACATCCGATCATATCCAATTATAGCACGATGGAGGCATTGCCTCCTCTCACGTGATTTTCCCCCATTCATTTCAATGAGCCTCCAGAAAAGTCACGGCATGCTAAGGGGTCTCTGTAGTATATACATACACACACACACACATATATATATATATATATATATATATATATACCCTCTATATATGTGTAATGATATATATATATATATATGAGCCGTTCTGGCACAACGAGTCGGAATGTGCACACATTATTGTTAAATAAATGTTACGTTAAAATTTTTTTGATTGACTAGCTAAAGTATGATATAAGCATATGTATATAAAATCACATCTTTTATTTTTATAATGCCCAGTAAAAAAAAAGACACTCACCAGTAGATGAAAGAAGTCCACTTCTAATATTGATGGTGTGTTTTCTACATTAGGAACAGGTACCAGGACTAGAAAGAGACAGAGAATTGAGAGAATTGCTGCATCAACAAAACAAACAAACAAACATATCCATCCTCTCCTAAACGTGACATACCTGCTAACATATCAGCAAAATGCTTCTGTATGACAGCTTGACTGCTCTTCAGCCTCTGAGCAGCTGAAAACTGCACTAACGCTTTGATTCCAGACAGCTGAAGAAGAAAATCAATTTAGAAATCAATCCTACATTAAATGGTGCGCAGTATAATCTATATCAGTAGAGTCCAACCAGACCTGTCTGTTCTGGAGGGATCCAAAAAGAGGCTTCCCTTCTTCTTGTAACATATTCTCTAAAGAGAGAGAGAAATCAAACGAGGCGACACATGACAAAATTACAAGACTGGCTACGTTCAGACAGCGCCAAAATGCCGTTCACATGAATTATGCAACATAGGACAATTTGAGAGGGACACCTGTTAGTAAATATGGGTGATGTTTCCCAACACTGACTGTGTGTACATATCCACCATTTTAAAGTGCTCTACAGACAACTGTCTGACAAATACCTCAAGTGAGCAAGTCAAAGGAGGAGATCATTACCGATGGCCTGAATGGTGTAGGCACACGTGTTCCAGGACATGACAGGCATGTACGGGCACAGGTCATTGGGAGCGGTCTGCAGTCCCACCCTGTGCACTGTGGTCGCACAGACCCCCAACATCTCTGTGATACTGCGAGAGAACTTCGGCCTGATCACAGACAGAGTTTACATCATATTTAGAAATAAAATTAAGGTTAAAACAAGCAATATATACACACATACAGTACTGTGCACGTATGTTGACCAACAACAAAAAAAAATGATTTTAAGTCAGTTATTTCTAGTTTTTGCTGTAGTGTGTCAGTAGGAAATATCAGTTAACATTTCCAAACATTTATTTTGACATTAATTGTAATAATCCAGTGAGATTTTTGTTTCCACAAGGAGTCAGCCAGTGCTGCACACAGAGATCTGATCTCATCATCATCCAGTCTGTCTGGAATGACATGAAGAAACAGAACAAACTGAGACAGACTAAATCCAGAAGAACTGTGGCAACATCTCCAAGATGTTTCAAGAAACCTACCTGCAAAGCTACCCGAAAAACTATGGGCAAGTGCACCTAGGGCAAAAGCTGTTTTAAACGCAAACGATGGTCACACCAAATATAGTTTTGATTTAGTTAGAAGTTGATTGATAAAAAGTTTAATTATTTTTAAAGTATCCTCACATTACAGCAGTTTTCCACAAGTGGCAAAAACTTTTCACAGTACTATAGCTTTGCAGACATTGGCACAGTTCTTCTGGATTTAGTCTGTCTGTCTATATATACTTTTATTCTTTGATATAGGACCAGAATAGGGGTGGGCGATATGACCAAAAGCTTATATCATGATATGAGTAATTTTATTTCTCGTTAACGGTATATATATATATATATATATATATCACGATATAGTTAAAGGTGCAATAGGTGATTGTCTTCAGAAAAAAAAAGTGTTATGCTGGTTGAAAGTCTCTTCACATCCCGATAGCAATCATTAAGTTAAGTGGTCTAAATGTATTTATCTGTATTTATATATTCTGTGGAAAGCGTAGGACCAAGAAATGTTCGTCCAATCAAAACGCTCGATCCGAGCGTTTTAATTGGCTTTCCTACCTGCCTGTCAACGTATGCATTAGCATACCTCTGCGCACCCAGTTCGCGCAGACAGGATACGTCATCAGCGCGTTCACGCACGCTGTGCAGACAGAGCGAGAGTGGCAGACAAACATCAACAACCCGATCTTCCTTCCTGGTATTGAAGTACTTTTAAAGGGGTCATATCATGCGATTTCAATTTTTCCTTGCTCTTTGGAGTGTTACAAGCTCTTGGTGCATAAAGAAGATCTTTAAAGTTGCAAAGACTAAAGTCTCAAATCCAAAGAGATACTCTTTATAAAAGTTAAGAGTCAACCACACCTACCTAAAAAAGCGGAGTCCATCCCGGGGTCGTCACATGTGGTTGCCCCAAGCCCACCGGCCGCTCCTTCGTTGAATCCGCCAGCCGCGCCATTCTCAAGCCCGCCGCCTGTTCCTCACTCAAGGCCGCCGGCCTCCGCTCACTCTAGCCTGCCGTGTGTGACGCTTGTGAAAGCGAAACTACTTTGTTTGGCCTTCCAAAAGAGGACACGACTAGAAATCAGTGGTTAAGTTGTATTTACAACACTGTTCCAGAACAGTTCAATCCAAATATTCAGATGTGTGCAGCGCATTTTATGGAGGACTGTTTCCTGATCCTGGAAGAGTAGAC